ATATTTCAAAAGAAATTTGGCAATAAAAATTTAAAAATAATTTAAATTAAAATTATACGTTTGATTTATTTTCATAAAACCTAAAATAATTTTAATCTCTTTTTTCTAAAATCAGAAGAATTATTTTATTTTAAGGTTTGGTTTCAAAATCGACGAGCTAAATGGCGTAAGAAAGAACAATTAAGAAAGGGTTCACAACGTGCACAAAATCTTATCCATGATACTAATGGTGATGTAAAATCTGCTACCATTGGTGAAACTAAGGAAAATGAAGTAAGTTAAAGTAATATGTCTGACTTTTTTGTTTTTCATAAAACTTCTTCAAATTTCTTAATTCTTTTTTTTTCTTCAAATATTATAAATTAAAGATTATTTGTTTAATTAATAAAAAAATGTTAAATTTAGACGAAAAATAATGAAAGTATTGCATTACCAAAGAATACATTTTCTATTGATAGTCTATTAGCTGCTTCAAGGGTACCACGTGGAAGACGACCAAATGCAAAATATCCTCGTGTACAAGTAATAAAATTTTATTAATTTATAATAATCATTCAAATTAGCAAAAAAAATTTATTTTACTAATTATTAAAATTAAACAAACTATATTATATATTCTATAAAATTGAACTTTAAGAAAATTTTGCTTTTTTGTTCTTTTTCTTGTTTGTTTTTTAGGCATGTAAAAGCATGTCACCATTTATGCTTCCATTATTTCCAATTACACAACCGGCTGGTATAACAATACGTGAAACTACGCCACCCTCACTGCCACCTTCACCGCAACCATCATTATCATTATCATCAGATGAAATTATTGAGAAGCAAACATATAATAATAATTTGTGACTTTGTTTCTATTTCTTTTTTTAATTTTCTTTCTTTCACATTATGGTATAATTAATTTTTTCCTTTTCTTTTTGTTTTCTAAATTATTTTTGTTTTAGTTATATATTGTATGATATTTGATATTTTTAATAATTAATTATAATTTAGTAAAAAAAGATTCTATTAGTATATTGCCTATAGATGATAGATAACATTTAGATGCTATGATATTCATTAATAATACATTTAGAGGAATTATAAATGATAAGAGAGAAGTTATTATTAATTATTTACAATAAGTAAAACACTTAAATTTAATTTGATAATAACTGAATCATCGAAAAATAGTTGAATTTTGCGTTCTAATATTCAATTAATTTTGCTGATATGCTGATAGTACTAAATTATCGAAGAATAGTCATTTATTTATTACGGTCAGAAAAAAATTCTTACAATTCCAAATATTATATATATATGAAGATCGTGAATTAAGTACTATACTTTGCTATCACATGTAGTAATATCGTATACATACCTACCGTATGTTTAAAAGCGAATGTTTTTTTCTTCACCCATTTTTTATGTGAATAAAATTTATCGTAAATTTGCTCACGATATTTCATTAATAACCTTAATCTAAGTAATAAATATGAATTGATACTCGTAATTATCTTTGATAGGCTGGTAGTTCCTTGGTATTATTCGCAGATAAACACCCGACATCTTAATATTTGGTTAGCTTTGCTGATAGTACTAAATCATCGAAGAATAGTTATTTATTTATTGTTTTTCGGTTGCATTTTTTTCGCTTCAAATGCTGTCACCAAATTATATTCAATGAAAATGATTTTTCTCATAGAATTTTTAACCGAAAAATTTTAATTCCTTCTAAATTTTTTTTAATAAAAAATTTTTTCTTTTTGTCTTTCGTTTTTTCGAAATTTAAAGTATTTAAAATATAAAAGATTATAGTAAACATTGCAAAAAGAGATAAAGCTATTTGTTGTTTTAAATATATTAATTGCTATGCATTTATTATAGTTCTAATTATTCAATTCCCAAATCAGAAGTTTTACGCTCCTTAAATTTAGGCTTTTTTTGTTTAATTTTTAATTGCTTCTTTTTAGCCTTTTTTTTTCAAAAATTTTCTCTACATAGCCTTTTCACTTCATTTCTTTCTAATGCTTATATAACTCTTTCTAAAATTTTCAAACTTTTTTGTTTAACTCTCTCACTCTCTCTAAACATTTTAAACACCTTTCTTCTGCATATATTCTAAAGCAGAAATCTATTCTTCTTTTTTTATGCATTCCTAAATTTTATTCAATTCTCTTTTTCGTAAGTTACTCTCTAAATTATATTTATCCACCATCTAATGCAAGATCAGCCTTCGCCAATGGCATTCACAAGCCTTTTAAGGCCTTTCTTTTATCCATTCTTATTATGAAATAATCAACTTCTTTGCTTTCCCACGGGATATGTTATTTGACTTTGACTAAACGATGGATGTATTATTGTTTCCACATATTATAATTGATAGATTCCCTTCTTTTCTCCCCTTGGACGAAGAAACCGTTTAAAACGATCAAAACTATTATTGTTCATCTAGGGTGATTTATCTACATATCAAATCCCGCAGGGCATTAAGGCCTATTCATTTCATCTTGAAAATTTCTTTCCATAAATTATCGTATTTTTGAGAAAATTTCGGACGCAATTTTCCAATTATTATGACTATCATTAGCAATTATCATTAACATCAATAATTATACGATCATATTGGTTAAATGATAAACACATATGTATATATTGATATATGGCAGTAGTAAATATTATGCTATAATATTGCTACCATTATTAGGATTTTTGAAAAAAGAACCACTGATAAATTTAATTTTATCATCTCATGCAACTTTTCAATAGCGAAATACTTCTAAAGGGATAAAATGGTTCTCATATCTACCTGTCTGTTTTTTGAATGAATTAAAATTAAAATAATTCCTTCTTGAAGTTTAAAAAGCTTTAGTCTATTCGAATAATTCCAAACAACTGGAATGAGTTGCTATTACATAATAATAATACTTAAAATGAAAATGAAATGAATTGGTGTCTAATTATTTAAATACATATAGGTATTGATCGGATTATTTAGATCTATGAGTAATAAAGAAATGATTGAGCATCCAAGTACCTAACAAAAAAATATTTGAATATATCATATGTAATATTTAATTATTACTAAGCGCACAAAAAACAAGAAAAAAGATTTCAGCATATTAAAGAAATATGAAATTAAAAACTGATATTATAATAAGCTGTATCCCTAGACTACTATAGATTTTCAATTACAAATTTTTTATATTCTGATTTGTTATCATTAATTTTCACATTGAAACATGCAACATGATAAATAACACAACTTTCACGGTAACGCGAAACTTTATTTATTGCATGCTGTAACTTGATATTATGTCAATCTTTCAATCGTTATCATATTAAATTGAATTATGTAAATAGTACTACCTTCATAACTATTTTCTCCTCATTATCTTATCATTAATATAATTTAGCACACCTGGATCATCCATACTTTCAGTCTATTTTCTTTTTTTGTGATGACTATTTATATCAAAATACGATAAACTCAAAAATTCATATTTATTGTCAAAGTATTGTATCAAACAATCGAATGAAATTTGCATAACAAATCATTTGTATTATATTAGTCTGTCCATACTCAAAAGTATTTCCGAGACTATTTTATGCAAAAGCTTTAATAAAGTTCAAAAAAGTTTTGCTTACAATATGCTGTTTCATGTCTGTGTACATATGTCTGTGTGTGTGTGTCTGTGGGTGTGTGCGTGGGTGTGTATACCACTTCTTTACAATCCCAAGTGAATGATTGAGGAAATATTTAGAATGAAGTATGTGTATATAGTCGATTAATGTGAAAGATTTATCATTTGTATGTGTCTGTCAGTTCATTGCTGGCTAAATGAAAGGAGTGAAGAATTCCTCAAAAATCATATTATTGCATAATTTCTCCTAAATTGCTATCTTTTTTTCCTAACCTAATCAAACATTTGCTGAATTTTAACTGCAAATGATGATAATTGCAATAAAAAATAATAGTAGCAACAGTGATGATCGATAATTATAATAATGATAACGATGATGATGATGATAATGATGATAACAGCAACAGCTGCAGCAGCAACAACAACAACAACAACAACAACAACATTAACGACAATGGGAAAGATAACGGTAACAATGATAATAAGATAATGACATTCATTTAATAATGACAACAGTACAAATAAGAAAAATAACAAATGTTAAAGAGAGACTTTTAATTTAAAATAAATAAATAATTATAGCAACAATAGATCAATAAACTTACAATATTCACATACGCATGCATACTTAACATTTATGTATATCGCGTATGTTTACATATACTGCATAAAAGTTTTAGCCAATAAATAATTATGCTGATCGATTCTGTAAATAAGTACAACACTATTTCACGCCTTATCATAACAAACTTCACATATTTCACGCCCATTTTGATGCATTAATTTTAATCATAAGTTAATGGGTAAACAAATGTAATTAAAACAAATTATCTTACAAATTAATGAATTATAATGCGCTTAAAAATAATATCTAAAGTCAAAAAAACCGGGCAATGACTCTAATGCGAATTGAGTATTGAAGATGAGATGGGAATTTTCATTGTTATGCATCAAGATTTAGCAAGTGCAAGGGACAGTGACGTGGTGCGGATAAGATAGGTAGGTCATCAAATAAGAGATTAAGTAAGAATGTTGGATGGGTGGTAAGTGCAGCTAGAGGTTGACGGATTTTTGCCGAATTAACAAAACTAAAAATTTTGAAGACAAAATGATAAAGCAAATAAAAGGGGAAAACTTTTATATTGTTGTTTGCGTTTTTACATGTTCCAAATGCTGTATTTTGTCATGCTTTCATATTTATGAGCTCTTACTTAATTTCATGGTTTATTTCTTTACAGAAGTTGTTAAAGGTCTTTAATTGTTGTTTAATAGATATGAAATGAGTATGAAAAGTTGTGAAAAGTAATGGAAAAACTTGCTGATATGTAGGTATTTAAAATTGTTAAATTTTAAATAAGGATATTTTCAGATTAGATGGCACGTCATTCGACCAGTGCCGTAGTCGCTTTTCTTATTGCCGTTATTATAATTGGGATTAGCCAAATTATGAAAGTAAGTATCTGTACTCTTATTTGGCCCATGTCTATAGGTAGTTTTCTACCAATATAGTGCTACCATAGACGAAGAGAAACTGCAGTAAAATGCATTGTGGCTATTATGACATGATAAGTTATGTATCTTTCATTATCACTTTGCTGTAAGTATATTTTTTTGTGGCGAGAATTTTTCTATTGGCTTTTCAGTGAACCTGCTAATATTTTAAACCGTTTATGTCATTGACTCGACTACTTCTTATTTTTCTTTTCAGAATGACTTAGCAGCTTCCAAAGTGGGAACGTTAATTGCTGGTGCTTTGTGTTCCTTAGTGTTTGTGTTTTTACTCACAGCTATGTCAAATTTTCAAATGTCTTCAGTCGGTGAACAAGTGAAGGCTGGACTTACCGAGATCTTCTTATGTCTATTTGTTGCTGTCATTGCTTCTGCTGCTATTCATCGAGTAGCCGTCACGGTTAATTAATTAATAATCTTTTTTCTCTGAAATCGTAGCTCGTCTTAGAAAAAATCTTGAAGCAAAATCTCAGGCGTTGGTTTTATCCATTATCATGAAGAAAAGTGCCAATGAGAAAGGAAGGAAAATGTCCAAATTTAAAGCTTCGATGTGCGATATCTTGGGAAATCATCAGAGTAATTTAAGTTGATTAACACTAAATGAAGAATAGTGTAAATGGAGATGCAAATGGTGTAGAAGTTCTGTTTTATATTTCGTTTTGGTGGATTAAGTTTCAAACCATTGGGAAGTGTTCATCCGCAAGAAAAGTCACTAAAAAGTGTTAACAAAAATGTTATTAGTCTAACAAAAAGTCCAAAATTTATGTGCGGTAGTTAGGCAAAAAACCCAAAATTTGTGCGCCTAAATTCAGATGAATCGACTAACAGCCGAGTGATAAATAGCTGAAATCACTCTGATCTTTCCTAGAATGCTAATGCTTGTTCCTGGTCAGTGAGAGTAAGATGCCGCTCCGGAGCAGCAGGAGATGGTAGTAGGACACTCAAGGAACAATAAGACCTTAAATGTAACAATGTAAGATTGATTTCCTTTAAGTCATTCAAGTTTCAAGTTGTATTTTCTAGTATTTAAGTGTCTACATTTTCAGGTTTGCATGCTCTTCTCTGCATTTTTACTGTTTTTATTGACTGGAATCAGTCAAACGAGGTATACACCGATAGTTTTTCAACAAGTTACACAGCAGCGGAAGAAGAAATAGCAATATCATGGATCAGTTAATTTTAGTTAAGATTCATTATTTTTTAATCCTAGCAATACCTTTAAACTCATTGTTAAGAAGCACAATTCAGCTTTCTTGAAATGAAGAGTGGAATTTTGATGCTTGATCTTTCTCTTCTGAAAGTTGTCAGGTTGATGTGTAATTGATAAGCAATGATAGTAATGCTTCTTATTTTCTTTTGATGAGCAGCAGGCACAAGATTTATGTGGAATTAATTTTAATTCTGTACATAAGGTTCAATAATTCGCGTACATAATCAGGATGGGTTCAGGTCATTCATGTATGATTGGTTTATTAAGAAGTATTGATGTTGCTATTCGTACGTTCTCTGCTTAAGGATCAAAAGACTTAATGTACTTTTTTCCTTATATATCTAGAATCTTTCTTTTTGCACTTCATTTTATATATATGATAAGAGGCACTTTTTCTGGATTTATTGTTCATTACTAAGTTGCGATAGGAAGCAAATTAGTAAATAGTGTCTTAATTGTTTCATATTACTTTGTTTAATGTCACAGCTTGCATATCTGCTTACGTTGACATACTTTTGTTACCTTATTTTCTTTTGTTATAAGTGCAGAACATTAATAAATTTTCTGTGATTCCATGATTTCTTCATAAGGATGATTAGTAGTGATGATATTTATTGAGTGTCATCTCATCGCTCGTTACATTCATCAATTATTTATTGGTCCCTTTGGGCAGTGCTTTAAATATCAGTGCGGCGTAATTTTCTGAAACTGTTGGGGTAGAATTAATACAAATGTTGGAGATTCTTCTGCTATCTATGTAACTAAATTTGTTGTAATATACAACCTTATTGTTTGACTTATTGACGGCGTTCTTGCTCTATCAGCAAGTTTTTATTGTGCATAGTTGGGGTAATTTATAATCTTCGCATCTGGTTCAAATTCGGCATTTTTTTAAATGATTTTCAGCGATTTGGTAACATCTTAAGATTTATTCAAGATCTCTTGCTACTGTCAACTAACATAAGCATGCTTAGACAATGTAACTTCCAAAAAAAGTAGTAGGACATGTTTATTACGATATGTGATGTGAATTTTGGATTAATTTCAGTATTTCACAGCCGGTAAAATGTACGATGGGAAACGACTCTTCGAAAGCGAAATTATCTTCTACAGCGACAACAACACTTGGAACTTCGAAAAGGAAAAAATTGAGTTTACCGATTAAACATGGTCCATCCTCATCTGTCGTACAACGTCATCTGGAGACAGCTAAGAAAAGTCGAGTTTTACAACTTAGAAATTGTGGTATGAAAATATTGCCGGAGCAGCTGCAAGAAGTAGGCATTTTCTTCCCATTTTTCATGTTTAATATAAGCTGCCGATTTTTGTGATCATTTATTATTAATACTTTCCTTGGTAATATACAGCTAGTCAAAGCTATGTTAGCCTCATAGTAGTTATTACCAATCGTCTCGATAATGACTGATCATTCGAAGTTGCAGCTTCTTTTAGTAATTGTAGTAATATGTTCATACAAAATTACTGAGAGGAACTTATAGTACGAAGTAGCATATGAAGAGGTCTTTATTCCATCCTTATTTATAACATTAATTTTTGTCATTATCACATCGTGTGAATGCCAGTGGTAAATTCTATTAATTTCTATATTCTATGTTTGGATTGAAAAAAGGAAAGAGACTAGATGGATAAAAGTGTGAAAAAGATTTTTTTCTACCGGAGTTTGATTTTAGGACCTTTTCGCGCTACTAATAATTTCCCAATGTTAGCTGTTTTTACACTGAATTTTATCAAAAATAAGCTGTATTCAAGTTTAAAATTGTATTTAGGTTTGTGAAATTCTTCGAAATTTGGATGTTTCACAGAACAGAATCCGAATGCTTCCAACATTTATTGGCTCATTCAGTAACTTGAAACAGCTTCATCTTTCTAATAATGAATTGGAAAGTTTACCAGATGAAGTGGGTGTTCTGAAGAGGCTGGAAATTTTGGATCTCTCTTGCAATCAACTTAGCCGCCTTCCGGAATCGTTGGCTGGTTTATGTTCGCTGAAAACACTGAATATATCAAAAAACAAGTTCATAAACTTACCTGTGTGTGTATGCCACTTGCCGATACTAAACATTCTTGACATATCGTCCAATTTTATCGAATTTCTTCCCGATGAGGTCAGTTTTGATATTCGAATTGACTTTAGGTCAAATTTCTGCCCATGCTAGTGCTAGAGATTTCATACTCGTAATTTATCATGTGAAGTAATCCAATAACTTAATTAGAATTCAAAAAACTTGAATTTCAGTGCATATTTTTCGACTGATATTTAATAAATATTGACTTAGTTTGAGGTACTGTATTTTTTATATCTTTTACTTCAATATACTATCACGTACAACCGAAGCACCGAAAAGATTTTGTTTGTACATTCTAGAAATGAAGTTTTCTAGAGATGTCATCTATTAAACAATGTATCCCTAAAAAGCGGTAGGGGAACCAAATCAAAAAGGACTCGTTGCTTTCTACTTTTATTACATTGTTTTATTAATTTCAGGTGAAATTTCTGAAAATATCGGAATTTAATCTGAATCAGAACAGATTAAATTCATTAAATGCAGCAAACTTGATGCACTGCGAAGCTTTGAGAATACTTCGAGTGGAAGAAAATTGTTTGAATAAAACAGATTTTATAAGTGATTTTCTAATTAATTCTAATATTAGTCTGATTGCATATGCTGGAAATCTTTTCCAGGACAAAGATTTCCAAAATTTACCTGGTTACGAAGAGTATCAAAAGAGATACACAGCTACAAAAAGAAAAATGTAATCGGTAAGCATTTTTGCTTATTCACCGGAGTTCGCTCGTTCTTTTTGAGGAATATGCTTATTAACATCAGGTTTATGACGTAGTGATTTTGGAGATTAGAATATAGAATGTTTACTGTTAGCGGTACCTCATCCTAATAAAAGGGACTAATTGATTCTCAAAACTACAATGATGATATGGAGCTACATAACATCTACCAATGGGGACAACTCGTTAACGGCCCTTGCTCAACATCATAGCTTAACTTAAGCCAAGTCTATATTGCTTTAATGTTTAAAGCAACTCACGTCATCCTCTTGTAAGCCATGTGTAAGTGTTTTATTTTAGTGCTTTCTTCAAAAATGAAGTCCTTTTTTAGAAAAGTAGCCATACAAAATAATAAATCTATTGTGACTGTTATCTAGTGAGATATTCAGAATCTAGAGCTAAAAATAAAGTTTAATTTCAAATGAATAAGCTAAAGGTTTGGTGTCCTTTTTCTGAGCGAAGATCATAAAAATACTACATTGCGAAGATTTGATATGAAACATTAGGAAACAGGTTTACATGAATAATGTATTGAATAATGTAAGATAAATAGTAAATACAGTGAATCATTCCCTCCAATAGAATACATTATTTTTATTCATTCCCACTATTTTTTTAAGCATTACCATTTTCCCTTCCAATGAATACTGATTGCTTCGCCACTTTTCTATTTTATTAGTCTTATTTCTGTGTGATAATCTCTAATTGATTTAACATTGTAATGCACAATATCATATTATCACATATGAAATCCGACTGAACCAAGTCGTAATAATCGGTAGATAAATAAAAATGCTTCTTATCGCAACAAATCCGATGTGCTGATGAACAGATAATTAACATAAAATAAAGTAGGAGAAAGGGAATAGAGAAGCAAATACAGAGATTTGCCGATATCGCGTTATTACGTTAATGACAATTATATCTACCTGTTAATCCGATATTATCGACAAAATTAATTTCACGTTATCAATAATAAGGATTTGGCAAATTAAAAGGAAAGCATTAGATAACTTAAAACAAATCTTAAAGAGTTTAGATATTTTACGAAGGAATTTGAACTACTGTTATAAATCGATTTCTTTTGATTATTCTTAAGGCTTAATGTGAACTATAGGTGGTACTGTTTATATGATATACGAATAAATTGCTACGTCAATGTAATATTGTGCATAATATCGACGTGAAGAAAAATTTAACGATTTCTAAGATTTCAAATGGAACACATACATTCCAAATACAAATACCTTAATGTTAATTGAATAACTACATTTGTGATCGGTAAATAATTTGATGTGGAAAAAAAAAGAGAAAGCTGTTATGAAAGTGGAACATATGTTTGCGAGAATGTTTTATTTTCATAGTGAACCTAAGAATTAAGTGAAATATATTTTCTAGTAAATCTTAGTGAAATATTTCGGATGCATATTGGAAGAAACACACAAAAGAAAACGTGAAAACGGTAGGGAGCAAGAATTCGTAAAATGTGTATCCGCAATGAACTTAGAACTTTGAGGAGTATTTCAAGCATATTTCAGGAAAAAGAGAACGCGTAAAACTTGTAGAATTTGTACTTGTAGGACTTGTAAACTTGTAGAACTTTTAGAATTGGAATTTCATATTGACTCAACGCGCCATATTCAAACAATCTGTTGAATTGAAACGCTTTTTTTTTCATTGTCGTTACAGTATTTGGTTGTTCTGTCTTCTGTACGTGGGGTGGTTTTTCGTTGATTTTATTTTTGAAAACTAATTAGTGGACAAAAATAAGCGGAGCTTTATTTAATTTTGCGAGTCCTTAGTGATGTAAAAAATTTATACGATAATGTGGTTTAATAATCAACCTTATACAGAGATTTTTATTTTTAATTCGCAATCTATTGAAATTTTAGTTTAAAGTTAGCGAACCGCAAAAATTTTGAACTTGGAATTACATATATACTAATTTAAAACTGGCATTTTTAACCTTAAAATATATAAAGGGTGACAAAGTAAATCTAATGGGTTAGGGCATCAAACACGTTGAGCTTTTCAAATAACACATTGTCTGCACTCATGAAGTCCATCGAAACTTGCAGTGAAAGTTTTTTTACAATCAACCTTGCGTAATTTTGTCTCCAACCATCATTAACAGAAGATTGAGTTGTGAACTCTTCCAGTATTCTTTAGTATATTGCAATGTCTCTATTAAGTTAATTCGCTTATCATCTATTATCTCTGATTCTATTATATATGTTAGAAGGCATTATAAATTACAGAGAGAGACGTCTGGTCATTATCGGAGCTGGGAGTTTCTGGATTTTAATTTCAACCTGAATATGAAGGAACTAGGAACTGCGAATGCTACCAATCCAAAGCAGGATGAACGTGTTTGGGTACCAGATGCTATTGAAGGCTTTGTGTTGGGAGTCGTAATCCGGGTAAGTTTAGAGATAGAACTTTTATTAAACAATAAGACTGACGACGCTAGTAACATTAATGTTAGTTTTCATGCAAGGTACAACATTATTGTGATAATTGTATTTTTGAAAAGTGAAGGCATCATGGAAGTTAACAGACATATTTTGGGCAACTGATATGAGTTGTCATGTTGCAGAATGTAGCAGGTGATCGTGTATTATTGAGGATTGAAGATACAGGTCGCGAGAAAACCATATGTCGAGAAGAACTGCAATCTGTTAATCCAGCTAAATTAGACAAAATAGAAGATATGTCGTCTCTCTCATACTTAAACGAAGCTTGTGTGCTACACAACCTTCGGCAGCGATATTATTCATCACTTATATATGTAAATTTTCATCTTTCAGCACGTTTTGTAACTATTTGCACTGATAATGAAGATGTTAGTAGAATTAGTTAGAAATTAACTGTTTAGTATTGGCATATCGATGGTAAGACTGGGGGATTGAAAGTTTTAGTATAATGCACATCACTCATATGCTTTTTGTATACAGACGTATTCCGGCTTATTTTGTGTCGTTATTAATCCGTACAAGTGGATGCCTCATATTTATTCAACGACAGTGATGAAAAGTTATCGTGGACGAAAGCGACATGAAGTACCTCCTCATGTATTCGCTGTGACTGACTGTGCTTATCATGAAATGTTGCACCGTTCGTTTTTTAAATTTGTGTAGTAATGAAAGTTTTGAAGGTTACGGTTGTGTATTTAAAAATGTAATGCTAAGAAGATGAATAATAACTTTCTGAAATTTCAGAGCGAGAGGATCAATCCATTCTTTGTACTGGAGAATCAGGTGCCGGGAAAACGGAAAATACAAAGAAAGTAGTCCAGTATTTAGCGGATATTGCGGGTGCTGGACGACACATGCGTTCATCAGTTGCTAGGAGTCCCGGAAAGGTAGTACAAGTTTAAGCTTAAGATCAATTAGTATAAGCTTAAGTATAAGATCAATTATCAATAAAGTATAAACTTCTCGCGAAACTTATACTTTATTGATAATTGACAATTTTTTTGCTTATAAACAAATTCTTAAAGTGAGCGTTTGTATAGAAAATTTTTTAGGAAGAAATAGCTTTTGCTTGCAGATTTTATTATGAATTTTAATATTTAATATAATAAGATTTTAATATAATTCGAAGAATGACATTACAAGATCTTAATAATGTAAAATAATGCCTCTTTTCTTATTTGAAATTAATTGCCTGTATTTAACTTTTCTGCCTTTTCAGAGCCTGTTGCTGACGTCGTTATCAAGGTCGCCTATTTCGGAAAGCATGTCATCTGTCGTAAGTTTTTTTCGATACTGTTGACTTTAAGGTGAGTAAGTGTTCCTTTGTTAAAACGAACGGATATTAAATAATGACTGAGATTCAAGAACAATAATTCAAGAGTTTTGCTGAGGAAAATCTTATTTGATTGAGATTTGTTACAGGGCCAATTGGAAGATCAGTTACTATTAGCAAACCCGATTCTCGAGGCTTTTGGTAATAGTAAAACAATCAAGAACGATAATTCCTCGAGATTTGTAAGCTTTTCGCTTTATTGTCTTGATCCCATTAATTTTCTGACAACAAGATGATTATTTAGAATACCGCTACTTGTAATAATTTTCATTTCCTGCTCATTTTCTATGTTGTCGTCTTACTGTTTACCTTTCTCCTGTTTGCTATCTTTGTGTAACTCAAAAAATGATGACAAATCATTGCTTATTGTAGAGTTGGAAATATAAGACTTAGGGTTCCAAATTTTCCCGTCTATAGGAAAATCTACTTTTAGGAATAAGTTTTGGGATTCTCATTTGCTTCTTTACTGGAAAACATAGGCTCAACTACTTAGAGGTTAGTGAAAATTTATTATAGGGTAAATTTATCAGGATAAATTTTGATCAGAGTGGTTGCATATCGGGTGCAAATATCGAATATTATTTGTTGGAAAAATCGCGCACTATTCGACAGGCAACAAATGAACGATCATTCCACTTTTTTTATCAGTTGTTACTTGGATCACCTGTTAGCAAGAAAAGTGCCGTATTTTTAAAAATTGGAACATGAGCGTTTAAATTTGAATGATCTATGTGGTGAGAAAAGGAACAAGTTTTTCAAAATGTCTTTTTAATATAAAAGCCATTCCTTACTATACCTAGAGTGGATTTTGCGGATAAACAAAGCAGTAGGAAAATCATAGATGAAGTACTATTATTATTGCGAAATAAGAGCGCCATCTCTCAGGTATGTTTTTAATGGATGATATCGACAGCTACCATTTCCTTACGAATGGAAGTCTCATCATCCCGAATGTTGATGATGCTTCCGAATTGTCAAATACTTTGAATGCAATGAAAGGGATGGATTTTTCGGATGCAGATATTGATGGTAAGTTAAGTGACTCACTTTATAATAGGATTTCGGGTAATATTTTTCGGATTAAAGTAAAAACCCTTAATTGTTCTACATTACTGTTCAGTTTCATGGTGCATTTCATTGTGCTGTGAACTACTTTTTAAAACTTTAAAATGTTTTCTTTCTCAAAATGACGAATAGGATAGTTAGCATAAAATCAGGCTTATGAATTTGAAAAAAAAGGAAAAACTTATTTTATGGAGTTCAAAATAACAGAATAATGATTTATTTCAGCAATCATGCGAATAACATGTGCAATTTTACTATTAGGAAACTTGACCTTCACCGAAGATCGTACTTCTGATCAAGCAATACTTGTCGATGATAGAGGTTTTATTTCTTTAGTTTTAACGCACTTGATTTGGAGGGCATTTATATTAAGTATTTTAGAATTTTGGTAGTGAGTGCTTTTTGGTGAATTTATTTTTTTATTTTTTTAAATTTTATTTTTTAATTATATTTTGATAAGCAATTGCTAGTTTCAGTTGCTCAAAAAATATGTTGCTTACTTGGATTGTCAGTTTCGGATTTAGCGAAAGCATTTTTGAAACCGCGAGTAAAGGTCAGTTCGATGACTATTTGTCATCATATTCACATGTACGCATTATATGTGGATATATACGGCGCAAAGAAATTATGATTTTGGTGAATAAAGTTTCAGGTTGGCCGTGATTATGTGCATAAAGCTCAAACTCGTGAGCAAGTACAGTATGCGGTTGAAGCTATTGCAAAAGCAAGCTATGAACGAATGTTCCGGTGGTTGATGGCGCGAATTAATCGTTCTTTGGGGCGTTCAGCAGACATTGGGACTACTTTCATTGGTATACTCGATATTGCCGGGTAAATTTTGAAAATGTAATAAGTTACATCAAAAAAAATCAATTTAATTATCAATGAAATCGGTTCATTAAGCAATCATTTAAGATTGCATTCATATGTAAATAATGCACTCTTACTTATGTATATATGCTTATACGTTAATTTCAGATTTGAAATATTCGAATTAAACTCTTTCGAACAGTTATGCATAAACTACACCAATGAAAAATTGCAACAGTTATTCAATAATACAATGTTTATTTTGGAGCAAGAAATGTATCGAAAAGAAGGAATTGAATGGAATTTTATTGACTTTGGTCTTGACTTACAACCTACTATTGATCTTATCGAAAAGGTAACATTCTGATTTTCTCATTTTTAAGAAATTTTGATTGAGCAAATATTTGTCGCTTTTGAAGCAATCTAAAAAACTGTTTCATAAAAATTGATATTGTGTACTAATAGAGTGCTTGAAGAGATAAGATGTTTATGATACAGTAGGAATAAAAATGTTATTAATCATTTCTGCTGATAAAAAAGCTTCCCGATGCTCTAAAATGTGTATTTGCTGTTGCATATTTCGGAAGGCGAAAATAGTAAATCATTTCTCTGCAGCCATTAGGTGTTTTGTCATTGTTGGACGAACAGTGTATATTTCCGAAATCGACTGATAAATCGTACGTGGAGAAGCTAATTGCTAATCAATCGAAACACCCGAAATTTATTATTCCTGAATTTAGAACAAAATCGGATTTCGCTATTGTACATTATGCAGGCCGCGTAGATTATTCTGCAGGTAATTTGTATGAGATGGTTATGATTTGCAGTGACTTAAAATTTTAACCGGAAGGATTTCATGCGGTCAATTTTGTAAATTTGAAGTTTGAGCTTTGTAGATCAATGGTTAATGAAAAACATGGATCCATTGAATGATTCGGTTGTGTTTTTACTTCAAAACTCGGGGGATCAGTTTGTGGCAGAAATATGGAGGAATGGTTTGTTGTTTCTAAATCTTCCAAGCAAATTACTTTTTGTTTCTTCAGAGTTTGGGTAAGCATTAAATATGATTGCTATTACTGAACATTGAACATAAGTGGTGCTTTCTGGAAGGATTATACTGCAATCGAATACTGTTTTTTTATTTGTAGAAGATAAGTTAATTCATATTATAAATTTAAGATTTAAATCTAGCGTTCCTTTCTTGTTTCTAATATTATTTTTTTTATAGCGGAATTTGCAAGTCTGGGAATGGCTGACCAAACAGATTATGTATTTGGCGCACGAACCAAGCGAGGAATGTTTCGTACGGTTGGGCAAACATACAAAGAGCAGTTGTCACGACTAATGAAAACACTGCAGAATACTTTCCCTCATTTTGTTCGATGTATTGTTCCAAACAATGAGAAAAAGGCAAAACATCATTCATAATTTTTATACAAATTGACATATGCTCAGGTATTCAAAAATGTTCAAAAAATTGATTTTTGGTTCCAAACGGATCGTGTCCTTGTCTAATTAAAGAAAAGCTGTGAGAACAATGTAGAAACTGTCGATATTTCTAGTGCTTTAATAGTGTCTCTCTCTATGGCTTTGTTTAAATAAAGCGTTATTTTTGATCAAGTGTGGATAACTATATTTTCCAGGCTGGTGTCATTAATGGGCCGTTAGTACTAGAGCAACTTCGTTGTAACGGTGTTTTGGAAGGTATTCGTATTTGTCGACAAGGTTATCCAAACAGAATGCCGTTCCATGACTTTCGTCGAAGATATGAATTGCTTGTTGATCGAGGAACTATTCCTCCTGGTTTCTTGGATGGAAAAGAAACCGTTAGGTATGAATTTTTATGAGAGTAGAGATCCTACGTGTTTAAATCCTGTTCTTTTTTTTTTCATTTATGATTAGGTAAATTCGATATTAATGGGAAATATCGGAAAATCATGTTATTTGCGAATTGTATGACTTCCTTTTAGGCGACTTCTCGCTGCACTAGAAGTGGATGCAAGTCTCTTTCGTATCGGTCAATCGAAAGTATTTTTCCGATCAGGTGTTATCGCTGCTTTAGAAGAAATGCGTGATAAAGAGTTACAACATTTCGTGATTCAGTTTCAAACTTACTGCCGCGGTTATCTTTCTCGCCGTGCTTTCAAGAAACTTTTGCAACAAATTTCTGCGATTCGGATAATCCAGAGGAATGGTTTAGCTTGGTCACGGTTGAAAGATTGGAATTGGTGGAGATTGTTCGCTAAGGTTTCTTATTTTTTGGATCGTTTCACTGTGGTAGCATACTTAAAATTTGATACGAAATGCAGTGGGAAATCTGAACTCCATCTGCTTAACAGACACTAGTATGAAATTATTCTGTCTAGTGGTTATTTGTTATGTTTCTGGACGTCTAATAGCTGACCGGCTAAATTGTTTTAAGGTCAAACCTCTTTTGGAAGTTACTGCAAGTGAAGAAGCCATAGCTGGCAAGGAGTCGGAATTGAAATCTTTGCGGGAAACGTTGCTTCAAAAAGAATATACTTTGTCGGATTATATAACTCGCATTGAACAGGTTGGGTTTTTGGTTTTGTGTTACGTGGGTGAGGGGAGAGATCAGTTATTTTTTTGCCGGTAATATACATTTTAGTTTATCATACATATGCTTCCATATTCTGGTACGCTGAAGAGTTTTACAAGTTTTCTTGAAAATTCTTAATAAGAGTCTAAATTGGTAAAAATAGCCTTAACTTCTTGTTTTTAAAAAATTTTTTAGCTAACGAATGATCGTACCGAATTACAAAAATTATTAAAAGAGGAAAGCGTAGAGAAAACGGAAATAGAAGATGTGAAAGATCAACTGCTTTCAATGAAATTGCATCTGGAAAAAGAGGTCGAAAGTTTCAGACAAAAGTTTGAGGAAAAGGAAGCTGAATGTATTTCCGTTTCTGCGAAATGTAAAAAATTAGAGGTATCTTTCTGTTTCTATTCTCCAGATTTTTTTGATGTGAATTCCTCATTGTCTTTTTTGCTAAAAATCTGCATTTTCATGTATTCATGTGTCTGTCCGAATTTTTTCTAAAAACGATCGGCTGAGTTTTAAAACTTTCCAATAGGCAAGACTGCTACTTCGAACTACACGGTTTCTTTCAGTTGCTCTCTTTAGAGAAATTTTATTCTCTAATCGTAGATTTATTTCATATTTTCAACATTTATTTCAGGATGATGCGACAACTCTTAGAGACCAACTTCGGGTGGAAAATGGAAAATACGAGCAATTAAAATTGTCTTATACCTCTACTGATCAGAAATTGAGAAATATTGCCATAGAGAAAGATCGATTTTTTGAAGCAAATGAAAAGGTTGACATAATTTCCAATTTGAAAACTTACGAAAGCTCACAAATTCTTTCTGTTCACTTTTTTTCAGATGACAAAGGAGAAAGCACTGCTTGAGGGAAGACTTGCTGCTGCTACTCAAAAAATTGTTGTCGAAGAAGAGCAAAATCGGCAGAACGTCAAATTAAGAGCGAAATTGGAAGCAAAAGTAACAGATTACGAACAGGAGAATCAAAGGCTTAAGAAGGTTGGCAAAGCGGTACTAATAAATGCAATACTCAAAAGCTGTCTTCTTATTTTCTATCCTGACTAATATTCCATCTTTCCTCATCGAGACAAACGTATCTTTCCATTCCAAATAAGACTTTTTATACTTGTAATCACATGGTAATAACAGAAATATTAAATTAGTTTTGACTGACTTCGAAGGCGTCAGATAGATATTTTATTTCTGTAAAATTTAACTTTCTATTTCTAACCAATTTTTCGACATTTAGCACATTGGAATGACAGAATCAGCAAACCACAAACTTACTACAGAAATACGTGATATTCGGGATGGGAGTGAGGAACTGTTGAGGAAGCTAAACGAATTAAGTGTTCAACTTCATAAAAAAGATGAGGAACTCATTGCAATTCTTACACGGTATCCCATGTTTGTTTATATATTCAATGAAACTATTATTCAAATTTTGTTTTCAATAATTCGATGTTTCACGAATGGTTTATCTGTCATTTTCCTTTTTATCATTCTGTAATACTTGATTTATTATATATTTCTCTTTCGTGGTTCTATTCGTTAGTTTGAATTTGAGATTTCTAGTTTTGTAAGCTTTTGGTTATTTAATTAGATTTACCATATTTATCTGCTATCTAGCTGCGATGAAGAACAGTCACAAAAACAAAATTTGATGAAGCAGACAAAGGAATTAATGTTAGAATTGCAAGAAGTGAGAGAAGATTTGGAAAATGAAAAAGTTTTAAGGTAAGAACTAATTTTTCAGATTTGAAATTTGTTTTATAAAAAAAAAGTTTCTCAATTTCTGTCCAACATTTTCTGTAGGGTTAAATCAGAAAAGGGAAAACGAGATTTTTTGGAAGAGTTAGAAGCGATGAAGCAGGAGTTAATGGAATCACAAGATAAAACACAAGCCAACGTAGAATTACGAACTGAACGTGAGAAGCAATACTTATCGATCAAAGTATGTTCATTCACTTGATCAAGAAATTTCATTTTGAATTGAAAGAAATACATGATAGCTGGATCAATTTATGAGACCTGAAGGGAGTTTGTAATATATTGTAGTAAATCCTTTTCAAAATTTGCAGAAGCAGCTTGAAGAAACAGCAATACAACACGAACAAAATGTTGCAGAATTGAAAGCTAAACATTTGCAACAATTGGATTCTATTAGAGTCGAGAACGACCAATTAAAAAAACAAATGCAGCAGGTTTCTTCTGCAGTTGCATTCTGATGGATTTTTTTTCCAAAGGACTTCTCACCTGTATAATATGCCTGTATGTCTTGATTCCAAGTTTTGGGTTCATGTGGAAACTTCTCAAATTCTTCAGTAATGTAAAAATACCAACGTTTCTTAAAGAGAGGTGCATGATATTCGATTATTGTATGTTTTAGATAATTAAAACAAAGAACCGCATGGAAAATGAATTGCAAGAAAAAATCGTTGCGATTCAGCGGAATCAATCCACTAACATGGAAAATGAACGGAAAAGAAAGAATGCGGAGAACTTATTAAATGAATGGCAAATGAAAGCTCAGGAAGCTGAAAAAAATGCTACGGAATTAAAGTTTACATTAACAAAAGTGAGTGAATCTTTTATAAATCAACATTTATTAAAATTATGCTGTAGAATATCGGATAAGAACACAATTATATGTCTTATGCAAGGCGTATACATTTCCTTTTATGATGATTACATTGTATGCATAAATTTACTGATTTTTCTTTTTTTTATAATTGACTGGATTTCTATTGATCATAAATAATTCTTCAAATTTTTTATAATTGTCTGGATTTCTATTGATCATAAATAATTCTTCAAATAGTAGTTTGGTGAATATAATATTATACGTGATTTTTTAAATTTTTATTTAAACATAGCTATTCATTAAATCCATAAAATCCAAAAGTTGAAAGGAAATGGACTGTTTATGTGATCATGAATGTAAATATAGGAATTGCACACTTTTCACTGGATTGTAATATAATTTCAATTATATTTAAGAATGCATGTTTTATAGTATTGCCTTCGACAATTCAACAACAGTTGAAATTTTTTATTTTCATTCATAAATTTAGGTACAGTCAGAAGTTGAAAGACTTACTCAGGAATTGGAAAGCAATGAAAGCGTTGTATTAGTTTTGCATAAGAAAGTGGCAGCTGCAGAAGCTCAGGTCAGTTTCCTTATCAAAATTATTTCTTAACTAGATTTTTTCATAAAAAATGCGAATAAATTTTCTCCATACTCTGTTATGATCACTTCTTTCCTGTCCTTTTAATTATGTAACTCTTCAAAACAAGATATTGATATAATTGGATGTTTAGTATAGTAAGTATAAGTTTGGTACAAGTTTATAAGTTTAGTGTAAGTATAAGTTTAGTGTAATAAAGTAAAATCCCTAGTTTGTTTTCAGATCACTGATTTAAGCGATGCGAACAATCTGGAAAAATCTCAGAACGAAGCACTCCGAGCGAAGCTGCGAACTCAGGATGATATATTAGAAAATTTGCAAGAAAACAAAGAGCATAATGTATTTACAATTCAGAAGAGTGAAAAGGTTTGCTACAGTCATTTAGGAATTTAACAAACACATTTAGGAATTTAACAGAATTCACAACTTTAGGTAGTTAGTCTTTGAATAGTCAAATTATAAAAAAGGAGCAGAAGGTTAGAAATTTTAAAGATCATGTTGGTGCGATTAGTCAATTTCGAGATTTTTGATTGCTTAAACAATAGGTAAACTTTTGCATTACCTCTCCTTTGATCCCCTTTTGTTTGTGGATAAGTATTACATAAATCTGCAGGAGATAAATTTTCTGAAGCAACAGCTGACTGATGCAAAAAAAAAGAGTGATGAAATGCTACTCCTCCAAACAGAAGAGTTGCGTAAAAAAGTGATGAAAGAGGTGGAAGTTTATAAGAAGGAGTTGGAGCAAAGTGAATATGCTCGTGCTCGCAGTGAGAAGGCAAAAGAGAAGTTAAGGCAGGAGGTAAGCTTCTGATATTTTTGTTGGCCTTTCGTGGCATTCTGATATTCTTAATCAATTCCGAAGTTTTGAATGCTTTAAAGCCATACTTAGATCTCTTAATTTTCATTGCTACTACTCTTGTCCTCATGATAATGAATAACATATCGTGATTTAAAGAGAAAAAGTTGCACAAAATCTATACTTTTTCAAAATTACGGAGCGGTTATTTATGAAACAGGGGTTAGTTGTCAATCGCTGGCCTGTTGCTATAAGTATAAAAATAATTTGATGTTTTCCTTGATTGTGTACTACAAAATTCCAAAAAAATTTTATTATCCTTACAAAATGATGATAGTATCCTTTATAAAATTCAAGTGGATTTTCAGTTGTTTTCCGTAGCTGAATGAATATTGAAATTCTAGAGAGAATTTTTAAATGATTCCGAATAAAAGATTATTGACAAAAGCGAACTAAAATTTTTTTGCATGCTTTTCTTTGATTTTCATTAAGTCTAGTGTTTTTTTCTTTCTTGAATACCATTTGACAAGACTTTATATTTAGAGAAGGAAAAGTGGGTTCAAGTTTCATGTTTATTTGTGAAACTGTAAATTTTGTTTGTAAAGTATATTGAGGCTCACTTTTTTAGAACGAAGATATGCTAAACGAACTGAATAAACTGCAGTTCAGTTTGCGTGAAATGGAAAAGAAGCAACGGAAATTTGATCAAGTGCTCGAAGAAGAAAAGTCAAATTTGGCAAAAGTTATCATAGAACGTGATAGGCTTGCACAGGAGGTATCATCAAAAAATGTTCTACTAAAAATTTAGTGGTTTATAGAGAACGGTCAGCAGCCACGCTACAATCATTCTTTTAGATGGTTTATCCGATGTAAGCAATAGAAACAACTAATAAGAAAGTTTTCATCTCCATATCCTTGTGGGAATTAAGGGACAGCTCAATCAAATATGTAAATAACAATAAGGAGTCAAATTCGGAAAAAGTTTTAGTTGTATTTCTAGAGATAGATATTAAGGACAGGTTAAGCTCCGTTGATGTAACATTTTTGGGTTGCAATTTTTTATCGCTAAAAGGTCCTAAAATTTGTATACTTAAAGCTTCGTAATCATGAATCGAATGCACTACTGATAGCAAAGGAAACTAATATTCTAAGAAGCCGAATTGCTGAACTAGAAAATATTCGCAATACGCTACAATTGGACCTTGATAATGCTGTAAATCTTCATTATGTTTTCTTGTTGTACGTTAAATTGTACAAAAATTTTTCAGTTATGCATTATTTTTAGCTTATGAATACTTTATATTGATGTTAGTTGAAATTAATATTTTGCTAATGACTTGAAATAAATAGAACGGCTCTCTGGTATACAATATTCATCTAAATCTTTGGCGAACAGCTGCATCTGATTGCATTTGTAACGTGCAAAAATTCCAGGTCACCATGAAAGACGACACTGGTCGCAGTGTTTTGGAACTTGATCGAATAAAGCGCCAATTAGAGGCCGAATTAGCAAATGCAAAAGAGACGATTACCGAACTGGAAGATAACTTGCAGCTTACCGAAGATGCAAAATTACGGTTAGATGTGACACTGCAGGCGACAAATGCTGAACTAGATAAAATTCGCAATGATAAGGAGCGAGATGACGACGAACGACGTAAAACGATGCTACGAAAGGTATTTGGAATTTGATTTAAAATAGAGGTATATAAAAATTAGAAAAGCTGTTGAAATTTTGAGCCACACAATATCTACACAGAATAGAAGCTATACGTAAATTGAGTTAAATCAAATAAAATTTGCTGCTCAATTTGGACCACTGAAAATTTGTTATTGGCAGCTTGGTGACATGGAAAGTGAATTGGAATCGGAGCGTCGTGCAAGGTTAATTTTGTTACAACAAAAACGAAAGTTGGAGGTCGATTTGCACCATTCATTGGAACAGGTGGAAGCTATTGCCGCCCAAAAAGAAGAATTTTCACGGCAGCTTCGGAAATGCAATTTACATTTGAAAGATTTGCAGTTGGAAACAGAAGAATCGAAAAACGTCAAAGATGCGGCATTGCTGCGGGTACAGGATATGGAGAAAAGGTGGGAAAAGTAACTCCTATGACAGGCGATAAAACTTACCTATTTCCGAATTTCTGAATCATAGCATTTGTGTATAAGCCGGAGTATTCCATCGGTGTTTTCGATAGTTTCAACATTGCTTTCTTTCTGTTGTTTTAATTTTATAGATTGTGATTGCAAAAAATAGTGACTTTTTTGAAGGTTGAAGCTATTGGAGGATGAATTAGCAAGCGCAGCGGAAACAAATATTCAAATAGCCGCAGATAGGCGCCGTGCAGAGAGAGAAAGGGATGATGCTATCGAAGAGCTTAGTGTTAAAAGTAGTTTGATGAGTAGTGAAGACAAGAAGAGATTGGAATCGAAAATTTATGAACTAGAGCAACTGCTTGAAGAGGAAAAGAGCAACACCGAATTAGGCAGCGACAAACTCAAGAAAGCCCAAATTCAGGTATTTTATTAAATTGTCCAAATGTGACCGTGAGTGAAGAATTGAATGACTATACCTATATGATAGGCTTCAGTTTTTTTTTGATAGATTTCTCAGGATATATGGTTCAATTGGAGGTATGCATTTTTTTATTATCTGAAGCTCTGTTTTTCTTTATTGAGCAGCATTATTGGGAATAGTGCACTACTGGTTTATAGCTTTAAGCTTGAGAAAAGTTTGCAGCTGGAAACACTGACAACGGAATTAGCAGCTGAACGTTCATTATGTGAAAAGTTAGAAGCAGATAAACAGAACTTTGAAAGACAGTGTAAAGATCTAAGAGTGAAAGTAAGTTTTTTAATTGCCTTTGATAAATATGGTTATCGAAAATTCGATTGGTTTCATAAAATTAGAATTTTAGTTAGAGGAAATAGAAAGTGATATGCGTACACGTAACCGAGGACAGATTGCTGCGCTGGAAGCGAAGCTTCAAGCAGCAAATGAGCAGTGTGCTCAAATGGAACAAGAACGAAATACGGCTAGTCGACAGGTTATTTTTAAACTTCTTTTAAAGCTTTACCATTGCTATCATGCAATCATGCTATCGTTAGTTTGTTTCCTGATAAGGGTGCTTACTCAATAGGATTTGTATATTCCTCCTGGACCAAAACTTTTTGGAGCCTGGTTTTTCTCATCGCTAAATATGATAGCTCTATTATTCACCGAGTCTTAGTTCATGCATCTTTGTTTTTCATACAGAAAATATAATGATGGACGATATCACGAGTAGCACTTTAAAATTGATATCTGTCTTCTGTTTATAAGCATATCGTTGAGTCTTGCGTTGTGCTCTTACTTGTTGGATATGAATATCAGCTAGTTCCTGCGGGTAATTTTTTGAATATCCTAGTCTTGAATTTGCTGTGATGTTTTGAAACAGTAGACATTACAGGTTAGACGTATGGAGAAAAAATTGAGTGATACATTGATGATGAACGAAGAAGAGAAGCGAAACATAGAGCAACTGAAGGAAACTGTTAGCTTAGTTTATTTACTAAAAAACTTCAATAAATTTAATCCGTTATAAATTTCGAATATTTGCTCTTTTTCAAAATTCGAAACTTTTAATCAATCTGTAAAAAACAAATTGTTTATTTTAGGCAGATCGCGCGATGGCACGGCATCGTCAAATGCGTCGGCAAATCGAGGATCTAGAAGAGGAAACCTGCCGTGAACGATCGAAATGTCGACAGTTGCAAAGAAATATTGATGATTTAAATGAAGCTAATGAAACATTAACTCGAGAAAATGCACAACTAAAAAGTTTAGCAGCACTTGCACGACGTCCTGGGCTCAACCGAGCAAGTACTTTACGTTTTGGAAGTAAGCATACACTTTATTTTATTGGAATTTATGACATTAAAATATTCGAAAATTCAGCCTGGTTATCTGGTTTCTAAATCTACTCATTTGTGTAGTTGTTGAAGTAAAACATAGAGTGTAGAAAAGTTGGAAGGAATGGATATATATATGGTAGTGGATAAAGGAAGTTTTCTGAATTGTAAATCAGAGAAAAAATAAGCTGAGATGATTTTATGGCTTTGTATAGCTATTATGTATTCTGCTATCGAGTGATGAAATCTTGACAGTTTTGGTTGTTTTTTTGAAACTGTAATCTTTTTAACTGTTTATTTTTGATCTGATTTGATAGCTTTAGCTTTCACCTATTATAGGTGAAGCAGATAGCGTTGGACGGAGTGCCCGAAGTTTTGGTGGTGATAGTACTGATTTGCTGCGGCCAAATTCAGGATCAACAGCAGGTTCGTATGCCGGAGACGACCCAGATTTTACTGCTAGTTAATTTAACTTAGATTTTTCTTTCTCTGCTTTAATCGTTTTCTGCACTTGTGGTCTTTTAATTTCATGGAGAAAAGAAAAAAGGATTACTTTTCTGCTGCAATGTTGTTTATGATTTATAAAAAGAAGTCAGTAGCTTTATGTCATTTTGTTTAATGAAATATGTTGCAAGAATTTGCATGGAGCAGAATTCTAGCGGTACACTTGCTTAGAAACTTCATTTTATTTTACTTGCATGTAAGTGTGGGCTGTTTGAGTTTTGCATACTACTGTTTCCATTTAATATAATTTTTAATCATCCCACTGAAATGAAAATAAGGGCAACAGATATATAGCCAGATATATCACTCCTTGAGCAGAGACGAAAAAAATGATCGTATAAGAAGGAAATAAGCCTATTCAATATGTTCGAACTTGAACCTGAGGGCTTTTGCAAGTTCTTGTCGAGGAGCAAAAGAATTAGGAATTTTAATTTTTGTTATTTTCGGTGATGGAGACTGATAAACGTTAAGAAATGAAAAATAACTCTTGTAACTACATCGGGCAGAGGTCCAAAATATAAAGCAAATATAAGGCTTGTGAATTCTGTTTCTATGGGTTAATTTTTGGTTTTCTCAAGATTTCCGACTCTTTTTCAAATCAATTTCCGATGATTCCATCCTTAAGGCATTTAAGGAGCCATCCAGTGTTTACGCTACTGGCCATTTATTTTGTAATTCATATTCTAAATGCTAGGATCAAGCCCCATTTTTTTGATTTCTGAAATGTAGATGCTGATTTTGCTGTTGGCCGTTTAGTGCAAACAATAATACCGTATGCACAGCGTATTTTTGTGCAATTTGTTTTCGCAGTTTCTTGTTTTTCATTTGTGGCATTTTTATTTCAGCGGGTAGCATTTTATTCTTGATGACAGCAGTTGTTTGTTTAGTATTTCATCTCGAACTGTATATCAGTGAAATGCTGGGATTGTGAATTTTGCCTGTTAATTTAATATATTCCTTGTGGAAAGCACAACTGACGGTCTTTTCATCGGAATACATTCCATCATTTTTTGTTTATGTTCATTCCTTTAGTATATTCTGCATAAATAATGCAAATAAATTCGCTCAATATGAGTAGTTTGGCGACACTTTAAAGATCTTCTAAATTCTAGTAAGAATCGAAAAATTGTTTCTTGATAAAAACAGAAGATAAGAATATTTTTAGGTTAGATAGATAAGAAGGATATTCTTTTAGATCATTTCTGGTTAGTTATAGTGGTTAAATATAACCCTTTGACTTTGCAGAGAGACATTGTTGTCTAAATTTCTGAAAAACCTTACCTTAATCCACATTTTGTTCTGTTTCGCAGAACTTCTTGTGGTGTTGAAAAATTTAGTAACATTATGAAAAGAAAATATATCTCGAGTCACTGTACATAGGAACATATGCTATTAATTAAATACTATTTCATTTTTTATAAAATTAGATTGTGGTGTGGTATTTCTGAATTATGAATAATTATGAAAATACAACAATCGACAACAAGACGAATATTTTATAGCTTTCAGCAAACAAAATATCGCGGGAGAGTTTAGCAGATTAAAAACGTCGCTGGTTAATAACAACGGTAATGGATGATAGTGATAATAATGATAATGATCATATAAAATTTGGTCCGTCACTCATAGCTCAATTTCTTCTTGCCGATCGGTTTTTGGCTTTTCCGTTTTTTCCAAGCTTGTTTGTTCAGCACTAGCGGACGGTCGTAATGGTTTCAGATCGTTGACGACCATTAAAGAATCCTGAGCTTCCGCCGCCACAAAAGTAGACTTGTCATCTTCGGAATCTTGAGCTTTCGTCGCCAAAAAAGTAGACTTGTTTTTCTGGTTTGTTTTTTCAGCACTATCGGATGGTTGTAATGGTATCTGATTGTTGATAACCATTAAAGAATCCTGAGCTTTTAGCGCCGAGAACGTAGGTTTCTTCTTGATAGCTATCAATGTAGACACTGATGTATCTTGTGGAGCTACAAAAATATTGTTCATTTGATTTTAATTTAATGAATCCATTTCATTATAAACTTCACACGCAGAATTTTTTGAACTTACGATGGGAATGAAAAATTTGTTACCGAAAAGTGCGAGTGAATCTTTGATGCCTGGAGATGGAAGTTCATCCGAAAAAGTCTGCGTTCCATTATATGACACAATGTTTGTTCCTGTCTGGACTTCGTTTTGAGCCTAAAAACTTAAGGATCTGAAACTGTCTGAAGAAAAATATTTATGCTTTATTTTTATAGTTCCTTTAGTGAATTGCGCGAACTCTTGAGCATTGCTTCATTCATAGAATCTTTTACAGAATTTCATATATTTCTCTTAGCTTGAATAAGAGATTCACTGATGGAAGTTCCTTCTTTTTCCTCCCTTTGTTCTTGCTAGCTACTTCGCACTTTACAGGTGTCTCCGATTCATTCCTCAATGATAACTGGATTTTCATATCTTTACTTGGCAACAAATTCTTCGGTCTTTTTACTCTGCAAGAAATCTTGCTCATAAATTTTCAAAGTTTACAAAAAAAAAATTTGAAATAAAGTTTAAAATAACTTATGAATCAATGAATTAGATAATTTCGATAATGCAAAGATTGGTGAACGATAAGCAGAAAACTTAAGTACAGCATTTCTGATTTTTTTTCTTGTATACCTTTTTGATTTCTTGAAATGTACGACAAGTTCGGGCGTTTTACTGTCGAAAGTCTGCAAGCGAGTTGATAATATTTTGCAAAGAACGATTAAAGGGATGAATATGAAAGTGAAATATTCAGATCGATAAATCATACTTAGAATTTACGATTGATTATCTATTCCAAATCAATCACTGAAAGCATTTTTCAGAAAAAGTTCAAAGCAATCATTCGAAATGAACTTACTGTATTTTGATTTGAAGGAAGGCATTAAGTTATTATTAGTTTAGATAGTATTCAAGGAAGTTTATTTACCTCCTCAGCTTCATTACGAATTTTTATAATTTGCCAGATTAATTTGATGAGTTGCATGATAACGAAAATGATAACAGTCACAATGAGAAATATAAGTGCCACACGTAGTGAGAAATACGCTGAATTAAGTTCCGAAATGTCTTCACCGCTCAATTGGCCATGGTTCAATGAAATGGTTTGAGATCGCATTTGTTAAAATTTTTCAGTGCAAATCGGTAATTGGTTTGGATTTATTAATACCTATAAATATAATAAATGTTTGTGTGGAATCTCAAGAAAACTTTAATGATCAATGCAATATATTTGAAACAAATACTTTACAACGATTCAAAATGTTCAAAAGAATAATTTGAGATTTGGAATATTGTAATGAAAGGTCGGTGATCTTTTTTTTGTTAAGATCATTTAATTAATTCTTAAACACCTGAAATGGAATAATTGTCAACAAAGTCTCAAAGCAGCAAATTGTTGAAGCTTCTAGTGCAACCGACAATGAATGCTTAAAAATTGGCAATGATAAAGTGAAACATTCAAATGATTATTTAAAATGATTTCCAGGACAACTTTTATTGAAATACATAGTAAGCAAACAGCAACATTATTAAAGACAATAACATTCCGTTAAGCATATTCCTATTTCAAATTTCATTTTCCAAATGTTTAGAGTTGTCTTTTATAAAAAGTAAAATGAGAAACCGTCAGATTTCAACTTCAGGATGCTTCTTGCATAATTTATGATGCATGTTTTGACAATATTTTCAATCAAAATTTAGTAACTCTTTTTTGAAATTAATTCCATGTATTATCGTTCAATTCAAAAAAAAAAAATTATTAGCAACACGAATGCATAAAATTTACAAATTATATTAAATTGTTGCAAATATCAAATAATAATGATGAACATATGATAAATGATAATTTTAATGCTCTGTGCCGATGACTTACTTCTTTTGCAGATTGCTCAGTATTTAAAAATTTCTAAATATTAACTGTTATTTATCAGATCCTTTGATATAAATATATCAATGATATTCTTTTATCTATCAACTTATTACCATTTCATCCAAATGTTACTTCGAATATTTCACGGAACTATTTTCCCTCCATTCGTCCTCTCTCTCTGGAATGAAGTTTAGGAAAACTCTAAATTACACATGATTGTCAAGCATACGATGAATACTTTACAATCATATGTAATGGAGAGAGAGAGAGGGAGAGAAAATGGCTTCATCAGTTTGGTTTTAACTTTAAACTTTGTAAATCTGTAATCCCTACAAATTTATAAGTTTTAATAATTATTCATTTACAAAAGAATGTATGACCTTTCATGTTATATTTCACTTTCGGAGCACACATAGCGAAATAAATTGTTCTGAAATATCAAATGAGAAAATTGTTTATTGACGAAATGCTTACAAAAGATGTGAATGTCATCATGTGATGACATTT